AAAAAAGAGCAAATATCTGCAGGCTGATGTGAATCCGAGAGGAAGAGGAGCAGGTGAAGAAATCATTTAAAATAGAGACTTGACCAGCGGAAGGTAGAATCACCTTAAACACACTGACTTAACTGTGTGCTCTTAAGGGACTTTTTAAGAAACCTTTCTAGAGTTGTGAATTGCCTCAAATTTTGCCTATTTACAAGTCTGATCTTACGAAAACAACAGTTTTCTTAATGTAGGGCATACTACTGGGTCACACTGTAGGATTTCTTTAAAAACAATTATTTCATACAATTAACTGGTCTATTTAAGAGTGCGGAAGCTTATTTTTAAACATACATTTCAGGGCGCCTGGGTGGCTCAGTTGGTTAAGCGACTGCCTTCGGCTCAGGTCATGATCCTGGAGTCCCGGGATCGAGTCCTGCACCGGGCTCCCTGCTCGGCAGGGAGTCTGCTTCTCCCTCTGACCTTCCCCCTTCTCATGTACTCTCTCTCTCTCTCTCATTCTCTCTCTCAAATAAAAAAATAAAATCTTAAAAAAAAAATAAAAAAATAAAAATACATTTCAGGGTGCATGACTGGCTCAGCTGGAGGAGCATGCAACTCTTGAGCTCAGGGTTGTGGGTGCAAGCCCCAATTTTGGTGTAGAAATTACTAAGAAAAATAAAGAAACTTAAAAAAAAAACATTTAAAATACATTCAGTTCCATGTTTGGTGGAACTGAATAATTTAGCCAGGACCAAGGTCTTTAAAAGACCTTAAATTATATTCAGTGAAATCAAATGAAAATGACTTGTTTACAATTATTTCTTTGTAACTTGTTCAAACTGTAACAGCATCATGGAAGTATGTGATAATTTCCATTAGACATGTTTCACAAAAAATATAGGAGGTAGATGTTATCACAGGACAAGTTCTTCCATCTAGAGTTCTGAAATTTTTTTATAAAATTTTTCTTTCAATAGTATTATACACGTCTGTGTTATGTCCAACTTATTTCCATGTGCCTTTTTAGCGTGTAGTATTTACTGAAATTACTGAATTATTATTTCCCAAGAATAAAAATGTAGAGTTAGATTTACAGAAGTATCGGTAATTTCTTTAGAATGAAGAGTTGACTAAAGCTTAGAAAGTACTTTCATTTGCAAACTATTAGTTTAGAAATCTATACAATAGATTTTTTTGGCTAGAATTTTAACCAAATAAGCTATAAGTTACAAAATGTTATAGGAAAAGTACAACTATGACACAAAAATAATTCATAAAGTCATTGCAGAGTCTTTGCCAGAAATTACCTAGATATTGCTGTTACTTTTGCAGAGTTCCCACACCTGGTGTGCAATAAAGCCCAGTGGCCTCAGCAAGTCCAAGTACTATAGTTTCTCGGGATGTGAGTTTTATTTAGATGTTATGTTCTTCATATAATGTCAGCATAAGTTACGCTTGTTGGATGATCCTCCTGATATCTTACATCGCTGCACGGTCTTTCAACTCATCATGGTGTTCTAATAACTGAAATTTGAATTTGGCAAAGGATAGACCTCTCAGAGAGAAGACAGCCAGCCAACCATTCACCTCAAATGTTATGACAGATTGTAGCTTTTCGGAGATGAACGTAAAGTTAGCACATCATTACAAAATACCTTACTATTAGATGATGAGCAGCAAACTAAAGATCATACAATTTAAGTCTGAGCATCAAGTCCTTAACCTAGCTCTGACCTTTCTTCTGGCACGTAACGACAGTGCTGGGCTTCAAAACCACGTCCCTATGGAGTACATCTGCACAGCCTACTGTGGCTCCAAGGAGAGCCCCCTCTATGAAGCCAGCTTCAATGCACAGTGTCCAAGAGGTGAAGAAAGTAAACATTAGTCAGTACTTCTGAATAACAGTTGCTTTTCTCCTCAGAAAAAAAGTAGATAGGACAAACACTTTAGAGAAACTTTTATGAAAACACTTAATAAAAACCTGTAATCATAATCCAGAGCTAGTTCAAATTCCTGATTAGCAAAGCAAAACTTCACTTTGACAACTGTTGCCTATGAAATCCCTTTGCTGGGTCAAGGCAGCTACAGTAAGAAGGATGTGAAGCCAAACCTTAAAATTTTATCTTGAATATATAAAGAGCAAATTAATGCCAAGAAATTTTGCAGATGTTAATTTCCTTAGATGAAGTGATAAAGACTCATTTAACAAATAAGGTGTCATTTAGTTTCAGGGATGTAACTGTAATTCTACAGTATACAGTATATATTTGTGTGTTCTCAGTCTCTAAGTAGTTTTCCCTAAGCCATTCCCAAACTCTGTCGGTGTATAAGGTATGTATACAATGCACTGTTCAAAGAATGATTCAAGTAACCATTTCTACAATAAAAGCAAAACTCTTACAAATTAGGGTTTTGAAAAGGTAAGCATTGAAGTTTTCCTGTAAAAAATGCATCATGTTGCACTAGTGTGTGTATTAACTGTCTTCAATCCTTCACTCATTCAGCACGACCTGAGCACCAACTATGTACAAAACAATCTACACCTGCTCTGGAATTGCAGAGTGAAATCAGATGTAGCATTTGCCCTCCTTGTGTATGTGATCTAGGAGAGAAGAGGTGAATTTAAAAACAATGTTACAAGTTGAGTGTCAAGATGGTTTGAGGAAATCAGTTGCGGGAAGGTGACCTTCCAACCTCAAAGGAGCAACTGTCCACACTCTTAAAAATGGTCCTAGCTCAGGGCTGCGTGGCCCAGTTGATTAAGTGACTGACTCTTGATTTCAGCTCAGGTCACGATCTCAGGGTCATGAGCTCAAGCCCCTCAAGGGGCCTGTGACAGCCCTGCTTGGGCCTCAGTGGGGAGTCTGCTTAAGATTCTCCTCTCCCTCTGCCCCTCCCCCCAGCTCTGCACATTCTCTCTTTAAAATAAATAAATCTTAAAAAAAAAAAAACTGGCTCAAAACCTAGATGACTGATAGTGAGACCTTGACTTCTGGTGGAGCTCCTGGGCTCAACACTTTAAAAAGCCACCCTACCCAATCACGGCAGTAATCCTGGGGGAAAAACATTCCAAAACACTTGGTCTTCCACTCAAACCGTACCATATACTAAGACACTCCAAACCATGGTATAAATATCCCCACTGGTTGATCATTTCTCACCCACTTCATAGAATATTCCATTTCTGAGAGTTTAGTTACCCAATCTGATTTTTAGCAGTAAGATTTCTGTGAAGTGTGGTCTTCAAGTAAACCTAGCAGGTTTTGTTCATGACTGTTTTTTCATTTGAGGCCATGCCTTCCTCTATTCTATAAGGGCATGAACTTAATGTTTCTATATATTCCTATTTCAAATGCAAAACACTCAACCCCTTCTTTGGAATTAATGGCCTCGTTGAAACACAAATATCATATTCATTAAAATAGCTGATTCAAAGAGCAGTAGGGTATTAATGAAAGAGGCTACAATTCTACCCCGATGATCTAATGTTCTAAACATTCATTTCCTACTGAAGAGACATATGGGTCTTTTTGTACCTTGTCAATGTCCCCCTTTCCACAATATACATTACTAAATTTATACACAGTTCATAACAGTCCTATTATATCACAGCTATAGAAAAAGCAATGATGAAAGAGATGCCTGCAAATGACACAGCAAGCGACGAATAGGAAAACCTTTAATTCAACACGCAGGTAACAAACAACCCAGCCGTCTATGGGTAGAACCTTTTTTGCCTGACACATCATGGGTGGAAGTCCACCCAGGGTTCTCTGCTGCCAGGTAATATTTGAATATTTGTTACAAGGGAAGGAGGTTAGCATGAAGAAAAGGGGGTAAGTCAGGGTCTGTGCAAGAGGATGGTGTCCGCTTGGATGAGGTGCTCCTCCTTCATTCCATCTACGCGGCAGACCTTACAAGACTCACACCTTTCTGCCAGATGACACGGGCAAGGAGTCGGGGGGGGGGGGGGGCCGGGGAGGGGGGGGGTCTACCGGGCTGCAGAGAAACTCTCTCGGGAGCCCAGAGAGGCCCAGCAGTGGTGTCCAGGGCGGATGCAGATGCTCATCTGCCGCGGCCTCACTCACCCTTTTGAAAACGCAGGCAACACAGAAGCAATTTTGTCCCCACACACGCGTGCAAAAAAAGCTTCGGGGTACCCCCAGATAAATTCTTATTTTAAAAACAAAAAACAGGCTTGTGGCCATTCTCAGAGGCGGCCACATTACTCCCAGGTCTGGAAAGCAGATTTGCAGAGGCCAAAGATTAGACAAAAGGCATGAGCGGGCGACATACAGACCTAGAAATGATTTTTTTAAGTGAGTAAGGCCTCCCAGTTCTAATTCTGTCTCCCCTTTTGGGGATGATTCCTGGGGCGCTGAGCAAATCCCTCGAGGCCTGTAAAAGACGTTGGACAGGGAGGGGGAGAAGACCCCGAAACTTTCCCAAACTGCGGCAGGCTGGTGGCGGGCAGCGGCCACGGACCTCGCGAGGGTCCCAGGGCGCCGAGGGCACCCCAGAGGCGGCGGCCACCCCCTCAACCGCCACAACAAAAGGGCCGAATTCAGCCCTGGTACTCGGGTTTCCAGGACCCAAGCCCCGAGGGTGGAGCGGGCGGCGGCGACCCCGGGGCAGCCCCTCTCGCCGGGGCGAAGGAGAAGATGGAGCCTCGTGCCCGTGTCACGGCATAAAGGAAAGGACGTTGGGAAGCACGCAGACGAGCCCCCCGAAGCAGCAACAGCTGGTGCCACCCGCACCCCCTCGGGCCTCGGACCCCGCAGGAGGCTCTGCCCCGGACGCCTCGGCGTCCCCCGGCGGCGCCGCCCCCTCGGGAGCGCGGCGCGGGGGCTGCAGGCCCGGCGGCAGAGGCTGCGGCTGGGGCTCCGGCAGCCCGCCGACACAATGCGGCCCGAGAGCCTCTCCGCCCGCCGCCGTCACTGCGGCAGGCCCGTGGCCGACACAAAAGCCCACCGGCCGCCGGCCCTCGCGCCTCCCGGGCCCCGCCACCGCGCACCGACCTTGGGCTCCGGCGCCGGGCTCCCGCAGCGTCTTGGTCACCGCCTTCCAGACGTTGCAGCCCAGCAGGCAGAAGAAGAGCGCCGCGGACCTGCTCATCTCCGCGCCGCAGGGCCCCGGGCGGCTCGGGCTCGCCGACCACCGGGACGGAGCGGCGCGTCAGGGGCGGCCGGGCGCCGCGCCTCCCTCCATGTCGCCTGGCTCCGCGCGCGCCGGGCCCGCCGCCCGATTGGCCGCGCCCCCGCCCGGCACGGCGCCGGGCCCCGCAGCCCACGGCCGCTCCCTCCTCCGCGCACCCCGGTGGGTTTCCCCGAAGAGCCGCGGCGGCGGCTCCGCCAGCTCCTTAACCCCTTCGTGCCTCCCGCCCCGCCCGCCGGCGGCGCCCAGGCCCCGCCGTGGTGCCACCTGGCGGCCGCGGCGCCGCGCGCGGAGGGGGCCGCGCGCCCACGAGCCCCGCTCCCGCCCGCGCAGCGACGCCCCCTCACCTCCGCCCGTGCGCCCTCGAGCCTCCCCAAGGACCGCAAGCGCGACCTTTGGCCCCAAGACAGCCCCAGCACCCCCCCCCCCCCCGTTCCCCGTTACTTTGGAGAAAAAAAGAAGCACCTGCTTTTCTGGGCTGAGGCCTTCGCACCTGTTAACTGAGGGTTCTCAGGACGTATTTGTGTCTCAGGGTGTGGCCTGCCTCAGTTTCCTCTGTATAACGCCACCTGCAGCTACTCAGGTCCCAGCCTGCCTATGTTCCCCAAGATTGACTTGACGTCCAATGTTAAAGGTCAGCGGAAACAGAATCCCTATGCCTGTATAAAATGTAGTAGGCCCTCTGTGCCTAAGTGTTGACAGATGAACGGCTCTCCGTAGAATTGTGCTTGGCTATTTCTAGCAGGTTAGGGTGGGGAAGAAATTACTTTTACATATATTGAGGGCCCAGGTACTTTTTTTTTACTTTTGTCTTCACAACATATGATCCAAGAGATAGGTGGTGGTATCCCCCATTTACAGATGAGAAAATAGAAGCTAGGGAGGGTTAAGAATTTGTCCAAAGCACATAGCTGGTCAGTGGCAGAGCCAAGGCTGAAATAAAATAATCAGTCTGGCTCTAAGGTTAAAGCTCTTCACAAAATCCTCAGGCTTCCTTTAAGCCTAGGTACACCCACCCCACCCCCACCCCCACCCCAATTTCCCTTCTTCAAACGGCTCCTGTTTATATGCTCGGTACAACCTTCATGTCCCCGACTCTGTCCACCCCATCTCCCAACCAGCACTGCAGTGACCTTCGGACCTCTGTGTGGCACCCAGGCTCTAAGGAGATCCACACCAGTCTCACTGCCCGGTGCTGCCTCTAGAACGCCAGGCCAGAGAAGGGTTATTTCTGTAATTTTATTAATTGGGCATTAAGGCAGGGCAGGCAGTGTACCAAAAAGAGAATGAAGGATGGCACTTGCCCAGCTGGCTTATGATAGACAAATCATTGTGAGACACAATAAAAACCAGGAGGTGGAGGAGCCCATATGGGTTTTATTGTCACCCTCAGGACCAATGCTACAATTAGTGCAAATTGTGCACCTGCACAGGGTGGCAGGTAGTGAGAAGGCAGAAAGAAAACCCACAATTAAGGACTGCCTGATCCCTCCTCCTTCTGACTTCCAGAGTCAAAGCCTTAGGGCTGTTCCAGGGTCCACCTCAGAGCCAGAGCAGGGAAGCGAATGGAATGACGGTTCAGCTCAGCCCTCAACTCCAGCTGAGTCACCAGCCTGCAGAAGCCCAGAATCCAAGCCAGCTAGATTGCTGGATAGAACATGGCTCCATGGAGGAGGGCAGTCCTGAAGTTTTCAGGTCACTTTCCGGGTAGCGGGCTGCCTTCTAAGAGATGTAGCATTAAGCCCCATCCTAGAGTTGGAACTTTCCACTTCAAATATCTTGAGGATGTGCCTTGGTCAGGGATGTTGGGGATGTTGGCTCTAAGAAAGAGGACCAGCCTGAGCCAAAAACAAACAAAGCACATTAACCATGCTGATTATTAGATCACCTGGGACTCCTAAAAAATCGTGGGAGCTGAAGTCTCATTAAGGAATGAAGGAAACAATTATTTGGGGGAGGGGGCATTCCTCATATATGCCACTCTCACTCATAACAACTTACTTGGGTAGTATTAGGATTCCCAAATTATAGATGAACAAACTGAAGCTCAGTGACAAATAATTTGCTCAAAGTATCCAGCTCTGATGACAGCAAACTCAAATTCCCTGTAAGAATGTTACCTCCAGGGGCGCCCGGGTGGCTCAGTTGTTAGGCATCTGCCCTCAGCTCAGGTCATGATCCCAGGATCCTGGGATCGAGCCCCGAATTGAGCCCCGCATTGAGCCCTGCATCGGGCTCCCTGCTTGGCGGGAGGCCTGCTTCTCCCTCTCCCACTCCCCCTGCTTGTGTTCCCTCTGTCACTGTCTCTCTGTCAAATAAATAAAATCTTTAAAAAAAAAATTAAAAAAAAAATGTTACCTCCAAGGATGAGTTTCATGCAAATGATTCAAGTTAACCTCTTGCTGTGTCCTAAATAGTTTTTAAAACCTGTTCTAATCCCAGTAAGGTCTGAATCTAGTTAATAGTATCCAGTGAATAATATGGTGCCAGTGTCAATCTCCTGGTTTGGTAATGTAATATAGTTATATAAAATGTTACAATCGGGTTGCTTGTGGCGGCGGTGGGGGGGGGGCTGGGTGCAGGGTGTAACTGGACCTGTCTGTAGTATTTTTATATTTTCTTGTGAGTTATAATTATCCCAAAGTTAAAAGTTAAAAAAAACCTGTACTATACCATTTTTCCTAAGCTTTATTATTCCCGTAAAACACTGGTGTTTGTGATCCTAGTATAGACTAGAATTTTTAAGAGTGGGAGAAGTCTTAGTAAACATTAAATGGTTAGTCAAGTCAAGTCGGGTCACATTCATGACTGTGGATGCTCAGGTGTAATGGTTGGTATTATTGTGTAAGAAGATTTCTGTGGATGACATAGCACTTTAGAAGTTTATGTACCTTAACAGTGACACGGAGGCTTGAATAGTTTCTGAAACACCACCCCTAATCCATTTTGTGAAACACAAAGAAGTTATTTTGCACAGTGTACCCTGCAAGCCTGTCTCAAACCCAAAAAGAGAACTGGGACCCGCAAGAACATTCCCCCATTACTTGGGTGTTTTCAGTTACATGGGTGGGAGGCTAAGAAGCACAAATTCTGCTAAATCACATAAATAAACACACTTACATATCATCTGCCCAGAATTATGTAAGAGTTAAATAAGCACATTTTTTCTCTACTGGAATAAAAGAATATGGTTTACCTTTCCTCATTTTCTAATAATCAGATTCCCACTTAGAAACTGTGGGAAAAAAAAATCTCTGCTTGAGAGGGAGTGTTTGCAGAACAATGGAAATTAGAAGTGTTCTTTCCTTCTAGAACTTTTCCTGTTGCTCTTATTAAAATCTCACATTGTTTGACTAAAGATGAATTATGACTGTACTTATTTGAAATTGCTTAGAAGTTGCCTGACTGCAGCATTTGATTTCAATTTTCCAGCCCTCTGCCAAAAGCAGTGATGCTATATACAGAACTTTTCCTGTCTGAATTTTCCAGAGACCTTGATTTCAGAGGCTCTGTGTCAAGGTTTCTTAGCCCAAGATTATTTATTCAATTGAAATCTTTCCTGACATTGGTGCCCGTGCGGTGGAATTTTAATTGTCTGAGTTTGCTTCAAGAGGCATTGTCCTACCTTCTCCCCTTTCTCCTCCTGCCGCCCCCCCCACCTCACATCCGCCCTGAGTAAGAAGCTGCTTGTGAACACTGATGATGAGGTTTGTACAGATCAGGAAGTGTGTCATGGACATTCCTACTTCTGCTTGCTGATCCTTTTATTAAAGTTGGATAAAATGTAGCCATAGGTGGAAATTGCAAGGTCTCAGCATTTTTTTCAGAACCCACTTGCCCTCCATTTGAAAAAGAAAAAGGCAGAAAAATGACTGACTTACACCCCCACACTCCCACTTGGCCCTCTTTTTGTGGCTTAGCACCCATGTTATCAATCCGTGTGACTTTCCAACAAGATCTTTCTTTCAGATGTCTTTTCCCCCCTACGATCTCCTTTCTCTCATTCAGGTTCTCAGCCAGGAGAGGTTTCTTATTAAAGATCTAATTCAGTGAATGCATGTCTGATGTCAGCTTCCTGTGACAGGTTGCAAAGGCACCGTAGCCTACAAGAGCGAATTTCAGATCCCCTGTAGCCCTGTTTCACTTTGCATGCCCTATTGTGACCAAAGGAGGCCAGGACATATCAATAGGGCTTGACTGCTGGAAAGAATATTCAGAGGCTGGCGGCTGAGAATCCAGTTGCTCAGCGGTACATTTTAGGCGAATGTTCTGTTTTGATGAGCCCGCTCCATTAGAGCAAGGGGAAGTTTCCAGCTCAAGCCTTTGCTGGCCCACTGAAATACTGTTAAGAGACGAGGAGAGCTCAAGGAGACTAGGAAAGTGAGCTTCCACGTTCTCCCTGGAAGACGTGTATCTCTGACTACTGGATCTGCCTTCACAGACTTAGAAGGGACATCAAGGAAGGCAGAAAATGAAAAAAAAATTTTTTTTTAGAGAAGAAGAGTTTGGGAAAGATGGGAAGATAATGGAGAAAATGGAGAAGATAATTAGCACTTACTGATTCTTGTTTTGGGGCTCATTCTGTAGCTCAAATAGAGAGGAAAGTGTCTCTGTGCTCGAGGTCCTAAATACCCCTCCGGTGGGTCAGTTTTCAGGTCAACACTGTGAGGGGCATTATTCCTTTCCTTTCCCATCCTCTTCATTTTCCTCTGTTTAATTTTGAAGCTTTTGATCCAAAGTTACCTGCTGCTGGTACATTTCTCATAATGCCCTAGTCCTGGTCAATTAATAAACAAAGGGTTTCTCCCTCCAACAGTTCCCTTTCTTACAGGCCCTGTGACTGTAGATATGGGGGCAACGAGGGGATTTGTCTGGGCAAATAATACAACAGGCTTAGATGCATTGACTTTGAAAGCATACGGCCTTAGAGATAGATCATTCTCTGTACAAAACGGAAGGGTTGGAACGGCTGTACTTGGCCTACCTCCATTTTGACCTCAAACTTTCTAGTTGAGTTCTTCTTTCCAGCTTGTCTCTAGGCTC